TACAGATACAGATACAGATACAGATACAGATACAGATACAGATACAGATACAACTCGTAAGTCTTATACCCTACAAAGCTACAGTTTATAGCTTATAGAGATGTTTTGTTCCATTCAGGCCTAAAGACTTTATGAATATTAGCAAACGTTACAGAATCGTTGTCTTATAGCTTATATGAGCTACCATTTAAGCTAGTCAAACAAAGATTTTGTATCTTTATCTTTATTGCCCTGAGTAGCTTTATAATGATGGCTCCTCTGGAGAACTTGGACAATTATAGCTCTTCTTGGGTAGCTAATGGGTATTGTCAGTGGCTGGGCTTTCCGTCTCTCTGTTTATGGGTTAGGTTTGTCTAACAATTAACACATATGTTTGCCCTCAGCTCAGGGCTTTAGGTGTTTGTTGAGTGATACTCGAAGGGTGATGCTCCGGCACCCGCTACACCCCAGCTGCGTCCGCCGACTGTGCGATCTGAAGTGCACTTAAAGCTGAAAATTACCTGGCTCCATCTCCATCTGCTGCACAATATAATTGTGTGTTAAATGTGCGCAAACAAAGCCGGAGGCTGTTAACAGCTTCAGGGCGATGGAGATTAAGGTGGAGCCGCAGTGGAAGCAGAAGTTTGCTTCTTTTTCTCTTCTCTTCTCTTCTCGTTTAATTTTTGTTGTTTTTACTTTAGTTTTGTTGCTTTGTTTGTAACAAGTTGTGGTTATTGTGAATAAGGCAAGCCATTGGCCAATGCGGTTTGCCCTGACGCATTGTCGGCGGCGGCAATTAATACGCGCACAAATATCCAGAGACTTGTAGTAGAGCAGCAGTAAATGTATCTGAATCCATGTATCTGTATCTGTATGTGTAGCTGCAGCTGTTGCTGTTGCTGACACAGTTAGAGCTGTGCGTGTGCTATTTACGGTCAAGTGTTTGCCACAAGGTTGGCCATTTGTCCGCCAGTCCGCCTGTGCGCTTCACCCAATTGGCCAAATAAGTCATCATCGGCCGGCCGGGCGACCGTTAGGATCGCCTCATCTGCAGGTGGCTGCCGCTTTGTTGAGCTGCCCAGGTTTCCTTATAAACTG